GGAAGGTCTCGGAGAAAACAACTGAGCCATTCAGCTTCATCTCCCGCAGCACATAGTGCGAAGAACTCAGATTTTATTGATGACTATGCAATCATGGTCTGTTTCTTAGACTTCCATGAGACGACAGCTCCACCTATGGTGAAGACAAATCCTTCAGTAGATCTGTACTCATCTGATTCTGAGCACCAGCTCACATCTGAATAGCCTTCGATTACAGTCGGATATCCAATGTAGAATAGGCCTAAACCTGTAGTTCATTTCAAATATCTCATCAATCTCTGAATAACATCCCAATAAAGCTTTTTAAGATTACTTGTGAACCTACTAAGCATTCCTACAACGAATGCTATGTCTGGCATTATGCAGCTCATCACATACATAATACTCCTAATGATTTTTGAGTATCTTAGCTGCTCTACTGGTCTTCCAGTGTTCGGTCGAAGCTTCTTGTTGTAATCATATAGCACTGATAGTTCTGGTAGGTCATTATAGCCATATTTTCTTAACATGCTCTCGACATAATGAGATTGAAACAGTCCAATACCCTCTTCAGAGTATATAATTTTGATTCTGAGGATCACGTTCGTAGTTTCAATGTCCTTCATGCTGAATTGTGCTAAAAAAAATTTCTTGGTAAATATTATTATCTCCAAATCACTCCCGATGATGAGCATATCATCCACATAAAGGTAGATAACCACTATATTTTCTTCAGCGACCTTGATATATAGGCATTTGTCAAATTCACTGACTTGATATTCATTATTACGAATAACCCCATCGAACTTCTCGTGCCAGAGTTTCGGTGCCTGCTTAAGTCCATATAGAGACTTAGTAAGTTTATAAACTTTATCAGCTAGAGCATCAAGTCCTTCTAGCATATAGATCTCTTCCATGAGATCTCCATTGAGAAAGGCAATCTTCACATCATCTGATGTATGACAAATCTTTTTATTGCTACCCGTGCGATAAGCACTCTGATGATAGTGATTCTGCAAACTGGTGCATATATATCAAAGAAAATTATATCTTCTTTCTAAGAGAATCATTTCGTCATCAGTCTTGCTTTGTACTTTTTAATAGTACCATCAAGACGAAGCTTCTTCTTGAAGATCCATTTGCAACTGATAGGCTTTGCACCTTCAGATACATTCACCAGCTTCCAAATGTGATTTTGGATTAATGAATTCATCTCATCCTCTATAGCTTCTTTTCAAAGAAGTACGTCTATTGATTGCATTGCTTCTTGAAAAGTATGTGGATCTCTTTCCACATTATATGTGATAAAATCATCTCCAAATTTTTTGTCTCCTGACACGTTTGGAAGATAGTTCGGTAACTCCTTCATAATTGATACTTTTAGTTTCTCATAAAACTGGCTCCTCTGGTGCATTTGACATACTAGTATTCTCTGTTATATCTTTGAGTAATAAGCATTTATCTTTGATAAACTTATCCTCAAAAAAATCTGTATCTCGAGCTTCAATGATGGAGTTGGTTCCGAGGTCCAGGAACCTGCACGCATTGCTATCTCTAGCAAAGCCAAAAAATACATATTTGTTTACCTTTGGTCCGAACTTATGCCTTCTGATATCTGGTATTCGAACGTATGCGGGACACCCCACACTTTGAGACTATCCAAAAAATCTGGATATCCGAATCATAACTGATGACGAGTACTATCAGTTTTGGAGTAGTGTACTCCATTTAGAATTCAGTTTGTCATCAGTAAAAGCTCTTCCCAATAGCAGATAGGAAGACTAGATGTGATTAACATCAAATTCACCATTTCGGTTAATGTGCGATTCTTTTTCTGAAATCCTATTGGATTGCGAGAATACGGAACAGTAGTTTCTGCAATAATTCCATGCTCTTTGAAGTATGCTTCCGACTCCTTAGATTGGTATTCTCCTACTCTGTCGCTTCTTAGTCTTTTCACATGAAGTTTAAGCTGCTTCTTCACTCGAGTCCGAAACTCGACAAACTTGCTGAATGTTTCATTTTTAGATTTCAACAGGTAAACATGACAGAAGTAAGAATGGTCGTCAATGAAGGTGAAAAGAATGATCGTCAATGAAGGTGATGAAGTACTTCATGCCCCTCGAGTGACGAAGCTCTTAAAGTCACAAGTATCTGAATGAATCAGATCCAATAGGTTGGTGCTCCTTGTGACACTTGAAAATGGCTTCCTCGTCAGCTTTGCTCACTTCTCAGGTTTATTACCCCCATATTTTTGAAGTAATCCTAATTTTTTATTCTAGACAGTTTTTTATAATTTACATGTCATAGCCTATTATGTCATAATACAGATGAGTAAGCAGAAGATGATACTTTATTTACAACCAAGTTGGGTGCAATAGTACTGATCTGTTACATGCCATTAGTACGATATGCATTAACAAAATATATTTTTTAAAGGATAATAAAACTTTACCTTCTTGAAAATCCAGCCTCATACCTGCATCACATAGCAGGCTTTCAGAAACTAAGTTTTTAGCAATTGAGAGAACATATTTCACATCCTTTAATGTGAGTCTTCCCTGAAGAGAGAGTCATCATCACAGTCCCAGTTCCAAGAACAGGAACTACAGAACGATCAGGCATTGATACATTCTCTTTGGCAGCAACATAAGAAGAGAATAGATCTCTGTTAGAGCAAACATGATAAGTAGCATCTGTATCTAATCGTCAATCATAGATGTTTCTAGGAGTTGATACCTGGAATAGCATAGCCACACAATCATCAACTTGATTGACATTGTGTGTTATTTTTTTCTTTGGTGCTTTGCAGTCATTGGCAAAATGCTCTTGCTTCCCACAGTTGATGCATTTGCCGCTCTTCTTGAACTCCTTCTTCTGAACGTTTAGGTTCTTCGGATTCTGATTCTTTTTTTTGTTAAAAAACTTATTCTTCTTCTTGAAAGATGAATTATTATATTTTTCAGAGTTAGCAGCCACCATGTTTGCAGACGTCTTCTACTTAACAAGGAGCTCAATCTTTGTATGAGTCTGAATCTCGTCCTCGATTCGAATGAACCTCTTCAAATCAGACAGAGTCACTTGTTTTTTCCTTCTTCGAATGTCAGTGAGGAATGACATCCAAGATGGAGGAAGTTTGTTGACAATTGCACCAGAAATGAAAGTTTGAGAAGACTGATCTTTTCATCATTCAACTTCATAACAAGCTTTTCAAGCTCTTTGACTTGAGATAAAACCTGTGTCATCTTCAAACTTAAAGTCTAGAAACTTATCGATAAAGTGAGATTTAGACAGCTTCTCCTCATCCTTGTACTGATCCTTCAGAGCATTTCAGATTTTCTTTACAGAAGACTTGTTGTAAGCATCTGCTAGATGATCAGCCAGACAATTAAAGAGATAACTCTTGCAGAAATGATCATCTCTAGCCCAAGAGGCTTCAAATTTAGAATCTTCTTTAGAGTCGGGTTTCTTCTCAGAAACCACATAGTAGATTTTTAGAAGTTACATCCCGAAAATCACTTTCCGACACCATACGTTGAAGTTGGAACCGTCAAAATTTTCTAACTTAAGATGGTCCACTCCAAGAGTTCTTACGGGATCCATGGTAGATCAAGATATTGCTTTAAAATTATTGGCGTCTGTGGCTAAATCCGGAATAATACAGATATAATACAAAGAAAACTAAAATGAAGCTGAAATACTATAATTTAAAAATTTTCCAATTCAGCTACTGTGCGTTTGTAAACGTTTTGTTTAAAGTAATATTTGATCTACTCCGGTGCAATGATCCTAAGGTCAAATTTGCTTCCAGGAACAGCAGTACAGTACAGTGGTGTGCACCAACCAAATACCGTCAAGATCTCATCGATCTATAAGACCTTTCGGTCAAGGCAATGATCTCCTCGATCTTATTGAAACTTTTCGGTTCAGGCAGTGTTCCTACGAGCACCGCTAATGTTTAAAACAACACACACATATATATATATATATATAATATATATAAATAATATAATATAATATATATATTAATATTATAATAATATATATATATATAAGAGAGAGAGAGGAGAGAGAGAGAAAGAGAGAGAGAGAGAGAGATAGAGAGAGAAGAGAGAAAATATGGGTATGCTTGTACCAAGCACAAAAAGTTGTGCTTTGGTATGTGAGGTGTCACATTTTCCAACTCATTCAAATATGGGACCACATTCACATGGGTAATGGAGTGGATAAGGATGTGACACATCACTACCAAGCACAAAATTTGTGCTGGTACCAAGCATACCATATTTTCATAAAATATAATATATATTATATATATATATATATAATATAATATATATATATATATATAATATATAATATATATATAAATATAATAGTATATCATTATGAGTTTTAGTTGTTTTGGAAAGATTTTTCCTAAAGAGTTTTTGGGCCTATTTATAGTGTTTGGGAAAACACTATGCAGTAATAAAATAATATACTTTACTTCAAAACTTTCAAACTCTGCCGGTGAAAGACGGTGCCTAACAGTGGGACCCACACTTTTATTTGTCAAAAAATATTCTGCTAACTTTTCGGCTGGATCAGTTTCTTCAAAACATGCCTAACAAGTGCTGAGGTCAATTATCACATTTTTGTTTTAAGGGCTTGCAGTAAGAGTGTGTCTTTTCCTTTAAAAGCTTGCAGTGAAAGTGACACTTTCCTAAGCTTGTCTTTTTAATCACGTTTTATTTTTCTTTGTTAAAGAAAATTAGGCTAAAGTCATGGGGCCCACTCTATTAATCGGGCCCATTATTGTCAAAAGCTTTCTCGTTTGGGTATTCTGGTGACTGTCGGTGACTGTCCCACGGTCCATGGGTATTTTATGAGGGAAACATCAAAATTTTTACTTTCCACTTACGCTACCAAGGATTTCTAAAAAAGTACTAGTAACTAATAAATATATAATTTGAAAATTAATTATTTTGGAAAGTGGTTTTGACAAAAAAAAATGCAACACCGGTATATGTGTTGGTTAGGATATGATGGTGGGGAAGACAATCAACAACGTTAAACGATGCTATGAAGAAGAAGAATACTGTTTTGCTGATGGCGGAGCTAAGAGAAGGAAATCTGGTGACGAGAGAGCTCCCTACGCTCTCGGGCAAAAAGATACTGTCTATCGTTACTTGTGTCCCGGGGAAAAAAATAGGAAGAATCATTGGAAGAGGTGGTGAGAATGTACGGAAGTTGATGGCTTCTAGTGAAGCAAGGATTGTAATTGGCAAAAGCATGCCGGGTTCTGAAGAGCAACTGGTAACAATTTTTAGCTCAAGCAATGAATTGGATGCCTTTGGAGATAGGTTAGTATGTCTGCCCTACCCCAGATGCACTCTTTCTGGTGCATGAGAAGCTTCTTGCAAGTGAGGCCCCAGGTGATGAAGATCTTAAGGTTGCTTCCCCAAAGGCAGCGGTTTCTGTTCGTTTACTTGTCTCATCTGATCAAGTTGGACATGTAATTGGAAAAGGTGGTCAAACTATTCACAACATACGGAATGACAGTCAGGCTCTCATTCAAATTTTGAAGAGCGGACATCTTCCCCTTTTTGCTAATAGCAGCGATGAACTTATCCAGGTATTAACATCCAGGTGTTTTAAGTTTAGTTTATTAAACTAACTTTATCACAATGCTGGCAACATATTTGCATCTATGGTCTTTTTTAAAAAATAATAATAATTCCTAAAACTATTTCCAATCAGCTTCTTGTTTCAATTTGACAGAGTTGCATCTGATCCTAACGTGTGATTTTTAGAATGCTGAAGGTGTCTATATGACATTCCTTGTTCCTTTAGACTTACCATTTCCAGAGTTGAAGTCTTAACTTGTTGATGAGCTTCATTTTACAGTTTTAGCTTTAAGGCATCTTAAGCGAATAATTTAATGCATACTTGCATTAGTGTACAAGAACATATTGTTTTGAATCTATGTTGAGTTACTTGGTTATGTTGCATACAAGAACTGCATGGGCTTGCTAGTTCTGCATAATCCTTTGTTCATTGTTCTCTCTCCTTTACCATCTTTTACAATTGCTACTGATCATATGTTGTTCTTCATCAGATTATGGGAGACGCACCAGCTGTAAAGAATGCTCTATTTCAAGTTTATTCTCTCCTTCATCACAGTCCATCTCGCTTACAAAACCTGCAGGGTACAACAGTTAATGCTTTATTTATGCTTTCTCAGATATAAATATATAAATAGTTGCTACAAATTATTCTCTTTATTGGTGGATATCTTTCTAGATTTACTTAATGACATGGCTAAATCCGTTAGATTATAAAATTTTAATCTTCAACCCTCAGCACAACTTCACAGTTTTCGTGCAGCGAAAGGGCCTTTAAGATCGTATTAGACTAAACCAGGTTCAAATCCCACCGGACATGCATTTTAAAGCAGATTAAAACAATATATACACCTATGTAAAATAGTTAGGGTTTCGACTAATGGAAAGGGTGCTTACCCGCGGGGAATGGTATTAGACCGTAAAACTCTATCCCTCAACCCTCACAACAGCTTTGGAATTTTGGTGCAGTGGAAGTGGCTTGAAGAAGTTCCAATCTTGGTGTGCAGAATGGAGTTATTGTAGCTATAACCACTGTACAACTATTTTTGCAATTGATCATTAATGAAAGTAAATTAACCTGCCTTGGCTTTCTGCTATATACCACGAGTATTTTGGGTTATTAATTTTATATGTACCAAATCGATGTTTTATTACTTTCATTTATATATATTCTATTAGGTTTTATTTTTGAATCAATTTGTTCTCCCTGTAAAGTTACAAGAGAAATATATATTTTTCATAAGGTGGATTGTGTATCCAAACTATACTAAAGACAATAACAACATCTGAGCATAATGGATATGGGTAAGATAGATCGTACGAAGTCAATAAGATTGACAGGGGCTCGCTCTTAGTTTTTTGCCCTCAAATTTGTAATGGCTAACACAAAATCCTTTAGATGCATTTGTCTGAGGTATCATGTTTACTGATTAAGTGATTAGAGAGTGGGTGGCCTTTTACATTATTCAGAAGAATCAACACCATATGCATTTCTTTTATTTCTGACTGTGTAATAAGTATAATAAGTATTAGGATAGTGTGAATTTTAGGGATAATGATTCTGCTAGATACGTCCGTGTTACTGAAAATGGCCACTGTGCCTTTTGTACATATTCAAGTACTTCACAGTCATATACTATAGAGTTTGTCAAGGGAGTTTCTTTGAAGGTTGGCTTTATATTTTCCGAGTCCTCTACCATGTGTTTGTATCTCAACCCAATTCATATGACTTGAATATCTAAGTTTGTCAAGCTGCTGATTCAGAAATTGTTTGGTACATGATACTGAATTTCTTACTTATTAATATTAGACGAGATGCAGGAGTTTCCTTGCGTTTATAAGCTTTTAAAGTTTCCTCCTATTGTTGAATTCGTTGTTCTCTGACTATCGTAAGTATGACATGAATTATATTTTGATATATTGCTTAGTCAACAGAGAGGTAGAGTTCATCATCTTGCTTACCTTAACTTATTATACTGCTACTAACTGGTGCACTTGTTTGTTCTTGATTGTACATGTCTCAATTAATTTATTTTATTAGTTTTAATGCTGCTTTTAACTCCCAGAGAAGCCAAAATTTACACACACACACACATTCCATCATAATTCAAGATCTATAGGAGTTTTACATATCACTTTATGTTGGGCTTTCAGGATATAAGTTCCTAACAGATTTCTTATGCGAATATTAATCTCTTACATATCATAACAGGATATTAGTCCCCCACAATTAGTGTTATTTGATATTAGTCCCTCCAGTTCATTATTTACTTATAATAAAGAATATTATATTATTTTCTAATTGTTGCTTCCACTTTTATCTGATTACCCTCTTCTTCTTCCTCCTCCTTATTGTTAGAATTAATATAAAACTATAATCCTTGAACCTCACCATAACTTTGGAGTTTTGGTGTAATGGTTAGGGGAACTAAATTTAAGACTTATCTCCCACTCTGTCTTCTTCTTCTGTTTTGACTTTTCTCATTCACCATATCACAAGAAGAGTTATCTTCTAATCTTTTAAATTCCAGTTGGTCGAATCTCGTGCATCCAACTCCAAATTTCTCTATCCAGAACTTCTCTCCACACAGAAATTGGGATAGAGAACCTATTTTAACTTCAAAATCAAACTCATGTTTTCATCACTTGCCCAACTAAACTTAAAATCTAAGAAACTATTGTCGTTTCCTCTTACCCTTTCTGTGCTCAGACTCTTTTTTGGGAGACAAAATTTTTTACTGAGGATCATTCTACTGAAATGATCAATTAGAAGCAATACGACAGCGCTAGTGTCATTCTTTAGTATCAGAGAATAGAGTAACTAATTTTCATAGAAATTAGAAGTCCTCCAATCATGGCTACTGAGTGCTACCAAGTGTCTCTGTAACTTGTTTGATCCTTACAGTAAACGTTTCCACACTGATTTGTTATGGAATACGCTCTGAATGCAGGTCCTTGCCCACATGTATTGTATTTTGGGCTACATATATTGGAATTTTTTGGCCTTGTTATCTGAATCCCTTTCTCTTGACCACTATAGATAGAGATTGGTGAGCATGGAGCTTGAAAGAGGTTTTCTGGTGTTGATGGATGGAAAATTAGGATGGGGACAAAACTATAACTTGACAATCCTAACTAGCTTCTGACTATAAGGGGCTGTTTGGTTCGTTTCCTTGATATAGAGAAATGCAATTCCATGTAAAGAAACACAAGTTTTTAGTTTTCCAAACTTTTTCAAGAAATAGATTGTTTTGCTTTGGTTCGCACATAAAACATATTGGGAAACCAATGTATTTATTTTTCTTGTGTTTGGTTCGCATAGAAAAAAAGGAAAACTTTTGTAAACAAAGCAGAGAAGAAGAAAAATCTGACGTGGCAGAGTTTTCATCAATTTCACTTGGTTGGGGAAGGAAATCGGAGAGGGAAAAAAATCTTAGTTGGCGGCGACTTCAGCAGAGTTTTCCCTCTTCCATTCGAGCGAACCAAAGCAGCACAAAGAAATGGACGGAAACAAAAAAGCTGACGTGGAGGGCTAAAAATCTGACGTGGAGGGGTTTTCTAAGTTTTCCACCCCTTATAATAGCGAACCAAACAGCCCCTAAATTTATAATTGATTGTCAGATTTGGATCAAATAAGTAACTGAGGAACCTATATTAAGTAGATGTTTCATATTTCAAGGGACTAATATCCAACATTCTAATTATGATGATAGACGACTAATGTCCAGATAACAGTTTTTTTAGGGACATACATCCTAAAGCCCTTTATGTTTTTGACATGAATACCCTGCCAAATTTAGTTTTCTGAGCATTACAGAGAATCCTAATATACCTATTATTGTTATGTTATCATTGTAAATCATCACCTCACAGGCTATTTAATGTTTTTTTAATCCCAAGTCTCCACAACATAGATGATGTTCTTACAGTATAATATGCAGCGACTCATTGGCAGATTATGTTTGTGTAATAAATTATTTCCAGTATGCAGTTGCCATTCTGAACGATGCGTATTGATGATGTTGATATATTTTCACTTTCCAAAGACCCTTTTGTCAAGAACCTAAGAAAAATGTCTTGCCTGCATCCTGAACGATGCAACGACTGGAATTTCAACATAATGAATCTTTACCATCTTTCAACATGGTGAACCTCCGCATTTCCCTCCCACTCTTAGAAAAAAAGAATTACAAGCGTCTCTAAATTAGTACTATAGGAAGGAAGGGAATCTCGAAAACAAAACCAAAGTGAATTAGAGTAACAATCTTCAATTAATTAGGGATGCAATTACCTCAAATTTTATACTTATTAAAATGATTTAGGAATTCAGTCTAATTGTCTCTGCCATCTGAAGAATTCTTTGGCTGGCTCTCGTTTTTTCCACTTTTTCTTTTGATTTTTTTTCCAGTGTTATTAAAAGGGCGGAAAAAGGTAATACATATATATCGCATAGAAGGTTTTCGGGCATGATTAATTGATATTATAGCCATTCAGATTACACATATAAATATATAAATATATATATATATATATATATATATATAATATTATATATATAAATATATATATATATATATATATATATATATATATATATATAATATCGAGACAAAAATTGGAGCAACTTTTCGCTACCCAGTTGCCTAAGCCAACTCGGTTAGTGATGTGGCATAATCTTTGCCCCTACATCACACCTCAAAATAGAAGCATTAACCATCTTTCACCAACTCTAATGTAGATGTAGGGACAAGATTATGTCACATCACTACCAAGTTTGTTGTAGCAACTTGTGAACCAAGTTTCTCCATTTCTCTCATTAATATTATATATATATATATATATATATAATATTAATATATATATATATATTATATATATATATATTATAGAGTCAGAAGAGGGTGGGCGGGTTACGAGGGGGAGATGAGAGAGAGAGAGAGAGGAGAGCAAGCTCCTACTCAAACCTTAAGCTTGATGTCTACCAAGTTCTTAGCCACACATATGATTAATTAAAACACCTTTTTATTATAATTACATCGGATCCTACAGGCAATTATGAGCTGGTAAAAACTTTGCGTGCGACACACTATTGCCCTATCCATTTAAGTTAATAGGAGTTTTCACCTATATTATACTAATATATATATATATATATATATATATATATATATATATATCTATATATATTAATATATATTATATATATTATGCAAAACTTGTGTCAACTTAAGTGGATAGGGAATAGTGTGTCCACCAAAGTTTTTAATCACTCATATTGCCTATGGATCCAAGTAAACATCCATATATAATACAATAAAGAAAAATATTATATTTTAAAAGCTAATATGCAAGGCTCATTCAAAACAGGCTGTCAAGACAATAACATCTCCATTAAGACTCTTTACAAATACAACAAAAATTCAGATTATTGTTATATGCAATCATCACAACATTCAAAAGAAGTGTGATCTTATAAGACCTACTC